GTCATGGGTTATAAGATTAAGGTTTAGGGCCTAGAGTCGGTGTCAGGTGTACGGTTAAAGTTAGGATCACGAGTAGGCTGGAGAATAGTGTCAGAAACATCAATGGATCTCAAAGCACCATGGTCTACAGTCACCTGGATGAATGGGTGTATCCCGCATGGTACGATTTCCCTATTTATTGATCATCTGTGTATTGACTGGGGGGAGCATCCTTAAAACATATACGCCTCAACTATACAGCTTAATATTAAGTTTGCGAGTATTTTTCAAAGATTATGCGACTTTTCTGCATACGAATTCTGATTGGTTGTTCAAGGTCATTGTGGTTTTGGCTATTAGCGTTTAGTGTTGTCGAACTTTTATAATAACGTATATCACACACACACACTCAAAGCCCAAATTGTGTTAGACTGTGTGAAAAGTGAACTTGTTTTTATAATAATAATAATAATTTCGCTTTTATTCCAGAAACAGTACTGTGGTACAGTGTGGAATTTTCAGCACATATCTACAATACTACATCTAATTTCATCGTACATTTAAAAGGAGTATTACAAAAAAATATGTATAAAAAACAACAACAAAAACCAAAAAGAAACACAAAATAACAAAAAAATGCAAATAAAAAATACCAAGTAGAAAGCAAAATAAACACCAATAATGAATAATATTTCAGTATTGGGTAGTGGAAGCTATGAAGCTATGTGTATGCGTGGTGAACAGTAACAGCTGCAATCATACATGAAATTATGAGGTGTTCTTAAGATTCTTTACAGCCAAGATGATCAGTTAATTTGATTGAACAACACTGAACAATCATAAAATAAACATTTCAGGTTGTTTTTTTATTGTCAGCACTAATGCGGTGTTTGTTGTGGTAGTGTGAGTAATCCTGCATAATATAAAATTTTTAAGATGGTGATAGTGGCGTTCACAAACAAGATTGTCAGTCAAATAGTGCCGAACAAAAAAAAACAACCACAAAACTAATATTACATGATGGTTAATGACAGGACAATTTTGTAATAATCATAGTGATAATATAGTCGGACCCAGTAGATATACAAAATTTGAACAAAGCAAGAACTACAGTTTTAGCAGAATAATATGGTACCATCATTTATTTCGTTGGCTTCTCATCAGCTGCTTACAGCTTGCAAATTTTACATGTTTTCAGTTGACAGAAATTTCCACAATTAGTAAACAGTGCTGAGAAAATTGCGCTTATATAGTTTTCACACAGGCAGTTGAAGTTAAAACAAAATAAATGTATGCAGAAAATGGTAAAGGAGTTACATAATAAAGATGAGATGTGCGTTAGATGCATACTGACTAATAGGTTGCGCTTATATAGTTTTCACACAGGCAGTTCAAGTTTACAAGATATACAAAAGAAGGAATATAATAAAGAATGAAAAAAGTAAGCCAATGATAATAGTTTTAAGTAGCGTATATATACATTGAGACAAGTTTGAACGAATACTGGCCCACTCTTAATTCTGTATTTCAGTAACAATCAGCTTACTTTTGTCAGTCCATATGATATAGTGTAAGATGAGTCATTCAAATGATGTGGGATTATCAATGAACTAGATCTAGTCATATTTACGTCTTTATCTTTTTCAACAGCCTACTGACTCACCCATTTATATATGTCGTCAGCCTTCTATGTTGTATGTGTGTATGTATGCATGGTCTATCGTGTCAAGCTGTTATTGTCCTGTGTCTAGTTTGCATTTCGTGAGATCTTAAGGTAGTACGCATTAGCTTAGCTTAGAGACTAGACATAGGAGACATAAATGCACGAATATCATATCACATGATTGATGGATGGATGGATGTGAATTTTTAAGTTTGTTGAGACACACTAGATTACATACATACTAGGCTGAAAGTGTTTAAACGGCATGGTGTTAAAAGTTATTTAAAGGATATAGGGTTATGCTTCACCTAGAATTTGGATACACTTGTATTCTAATGCGTTCGTATAGCCCTAACAACGTGTTGTTTACGTTCTGTCATACTTACTACGCGTTATCTCGAAATGAACGTCTATAAATAACTGACATAGCAAGGTTATCCATTGGTGTAGTTAGCTTTTCTTCATACTCTAGACACATTTACATTTCTAACACATATTATTGAGAGACACCAGGGGGGGGTGGATGACGGACGGCTCAAACGTTAGCACTCTAAATGATTTATACAGTTTTTTTCATGTCTTCGTATCTCACGTATTTATGTGCGCCTACGGTTAGGCCTCACTAATTTAGAATATTCTCAGATGTAATGATCCGCTTATGGCAAAGTTATACTTTCCTGAAAAATAATGAATTAAAAGGCGATAAACTGTTACACAGGTCACTTTTCACTCATGTGTGACAAAAATGCCTCTTAGCTTTGGATTAGAGTGTCGACAGAGTAAATTAACCACATTCTATGCATATAATTATTATCTAGGTCTTCTAACACCAACCTTCCCTTAAACTAAGCCTATTCTAACTTGAACCAGCCCTAATGTTGCCCTCATCAGGTTGACCTAACCCTAACCTGTCCTTAGTCGAAACCTTAACTTTATCTTTCCCAAACTTAACCTGAAACTTGCTAGATACCCCATCTAAGAACATAACACTGCGTTGGGCATATTTTATTCGTGATTGCAACACCATTTACTAGGTTTCACTAGCTTGCTCATGGAGGCAAAGTTAAACTTTAAGCACCACTAACTACCAATCAGCAAATGGCCTCGAAAGCACCAATCACGTGAAGGAGGCATTTTTGTACATGGAATACATGTATTTATGGAAAAATTGCATTAAAACTGTATAAGTGTTACACACACAGGATAGCTTCCTCTCACATGGGGTAAAAATAGATCGCAGTTTTAGGTTGGTGTATCAACAGAGTATAATTCCATTGTGGGTAAGATTTATTTTGATAAAGTTTCATAGTGTTGTTATACAGCAATATTTACTGAACAATAGATTGTGCTCGAATACGACGTCATCAGTATAAATATTACTACTGCATAACACTGTGAGACTTTATCAGAATAAATTTTACCGACAGTGGAATTATACTCTACCGCCACAAGTTCTATTCTTACGTCAACAGAATAATTTAACCACATTCTATGCAGGTAATTATTTAGGTCTTCTAACCCTAAAAACAACCCTAATCTTTCCTGAACCTAATCCTAACGTGAAAATATCCCTAAAGTAACTGTAATCGAACCCGAAGCAGACCTACTGTCGCATTTGTCAGATTAACCTAATCCTAATTTGTCCATGGCTTGAAGAGTAGCTTAATCTTTTGAAAAACCTAAGCTGAAATTTGCCAGATACCCCGTCTAAGAACATAATAGTTCGATGAGCATATTTTATTGATGATGACAATATTATTTGCTGAATTCCACTAACTTGATCAGTGAGCTTTTCAAGGTCATTGATGCAGTCGCACTCCACTGGTAGTTAGAGGTGCTTAAAGTTTAACTTGACTCTTCTTTTTTGACAAAAATTCAACGATCTGAGAAAATATTTGGTTATGTTTGGCACCTGGTGAACTCTGTCACATATGAAATCAAGTTGCAGCAGTGTAATGAACTGATTCCCTAGTGTAAGAAAAAGTAGCAAAATGGTTGATCGTATTTATCACTCCAGTTGTGCCCAGGTTATTTCATAAGCGCTGGTGGGTCTAGTTGAATTATATTGCTTTAACCGGATAAACGCGCCAATGATCTTGAACCTACTAACTGTGTTAAAAAGGCAAATTTGGATGAAGAAAGCGTATATCTATCTATGAAAAAACGCGTAAAAATATGCAGTGGGATCTCGACGACAGCTAAGAATAGATATCATGGTCAAATGACCTGGAACTAGCCAATCATATTCCTCTGGGCTTTTTTGATACATTAAATAGCAGGAGGCCTTTCACCAAGGTTTCGTGCTAGTTGGCACTCATCAATAAGGGATATCTGCAACCTTGGAGGAACTCATGTCCCTTCTGAGATTCGAACCCGAGTCACCCAATGCTGCAATGAGTCAAAAGACGTTACCACTTTTGACGACCCACTTGTTGTAATGGTGGTCACATCACAAACCTCCCTGATAGAATTCAGTCTGCACCAAACATTATACTAGTTACTAACTACCGTCCGATCGAAGTGTGGCTTTCTAGTGTAAAAAGCATATTTACATGTCAAAGATGAACTATACAATGTATATGCCTCTAATATGCTTCAATGACAGGTCTCGTTTCTCAACCCTAGATCAGGGTTGACACTTACAATGAAGACTATTGGAAGCGTCCTTTTGTAATGTTGAGCAATGTGATTGGTTGGTTCAGGGTCATTTGACTTTGGTATCTATTTTTTTTAACTTACTACCCCGACTGGTTGGCGACAAAATATCAGTACGGATACGAAAAATGTCTATGACCATCGTAACAACATGACCGCTGAAAATCGATACCGAAAGACTACATGTTCTCGAGATCACTGTTATATATTTTTTTCACATGGACACTTTTGTTGGAACAATATGATAAGTAATGATCATCACACGATATTATATATGAAGTGCTAGGGTACAAAAGGCATTTCGGCTAGTGAGGTAGGTAGGTAGGCAGGTTGTGAGTTTGACTGATATTGTAGAGTACTAACGTATGAAGGTTGGTCATGACACTTTCGTATGAATAGAATAGATATTAACAACGGATATTTGTTCTACAGAAACATTTCTAGTCAAACGTGTAATTATTGATTGGTATGGTGGTAGGTAAATGCAGAACTTCGCTTGTGACAAGCTGGAATAAAGAAAAGTGAACCATGTGCGGATCGATCGAATAGCAACTCTACTCACCCGCTAGACTGCAGTGGTTAATATTTTCAACCCACATATATATATCATTATATAACGCGTAAAGAACACACATATATGTCGAGGGTTAACGGAACTGCTATATGTTTGTTTTTTCTTTACTTTTCTGACCTGTCTTTTTAGCACAAATCGTGGTTTTCAAGGTGTTATCGAACGTTGGGGAATGAAAGGTGGTTGTGCTGGGCATGGTTCTACTAAATTTCATCGTAGAATGGGTAGTGCTGCAGGCTGTGGAGTAAGTACAATAGAATAATAAGTATGATGAAGTGTTTTTTTTTCAATTCTATTTATCTATCTATCTCGAAAAATACCCTTTCATTCATCACTAAAATCACAGTTTTTTTGTTCAGTGAAGAAATTTCTTTTCAACGACTTCATTTTCAAGCTGTACGTACAGTGGTATTTCTATTACAGAAAAAGTTATTAATTGGCACTAAATAATTGCTCAGTCAATATACATATATATAAGTGATAAGAATAACGATAATTAAAATGTTTAAAGGGGGTAGAGTTGAAGTGGATAAATTACAAAATTGTTAAAAGATTGTTTTATAAGTGAATTGATACCAAAAAAATATTTTTAAAAGAAAAATGTCAAGTGTTGTCTAAAAATTTTAAAAATTATGAACAATTATGACTATATTGGACGTTATAAGCGTAATCTCCGAAAACGTGTAGCTGAGCACTATCCGGTTTGGTCAATGAAAGGCGAACGTAGAACTAGTTGCAAAGCAGTCTATTTGTGATCACCTGTTAAAGTCTGGTCATTTAGCCCCATGTGATTCACATCCTTCAAGGTTATCTACATGGCAAAATCGAATCACACCAAAAGTTTACGAATTCTTCACTTATGCATAGCCGAAGATTTAGGCATACATGAACAGAAACCTAAATTATGTGTGTTCAAAAACGTTTTGTCAAACCCCTTTCTTTACCTTGGTCATAGTAATGTTCTTTCTAGTTTTTATTTTACCACTTGAGTTCATTCCACTTCACTTCACATCTTCATTCTTATCGTAATCGTACTCCTAATTTTTTCTAATTTTTTAGACAACACTTGACATTTTTGATATCAACTCACTTATAAAACAATCTTTAATAATTTTGTAATTCATCCACTTCAACTCTACCCCCCCCCCTTTGACATTTTAATTATCGTTATTCTTATCACTTATGATATGTATATTGCGGAATATACACATTGGGTCATAGGAGTAAATAAGAAGACAATTGCAGCGAAGAAAATTTTCTTTTCGACGAAGTCATCATCTAGGCTGTACATTCGTGTACTTATATCAAATGGATGGGAAAGTTCCAGAATAATTTCCGGTTAAGGGTCAAATTAATAAAAATTAAAATTAGGAATTAGAATGCCATAATAAACAGGGGGATGGATAAAACTTGAACAAGGTAGCATCATAATAACTTAGAAGATTGACATTGTGCTGTTTGGCTGTTTAATGCAGCTCGATAATCATCTGAAACGATCAAGTCTGTCTGTCTGGATTCAACATAGAACTTGGCACCGAAGTGCAGCAGTTCGAGTTGCCACGTTCCAAATAGCACACAGAGGTAGACAAGAAGATGAGTGGAGAGAATTAATAGAGTTTGACAAATATAGGAGTGAAACAGAATGGGTAATGGTAGAAAGGAATATGAAAGATTACAGAGATTGAATACATCTGCGCCATTGACAACGATTTTGAGCCATGTCACCTATTGTCTCCAGCCATTGATTCCTAGAGTCCCGAGGGCCCCAACCCGGGAGTCTGCATCTCCCTACCTGACTCAGTTTAACTGTCAAGGATTTCATGGATTGATGCCATGTTTTTGTTTGGCCACCACTGGCTCTTTTCCAACCTGAACCTATATCAGCTAACAATGCCCGTCGGGGGAGGCGGTGGTTAGGCATGCGCACCACGTGACCTAGCCATCTTAGTCTATGTAACTTTATAACCTCGTCGATTGATTTTCCCTCTTTGCCCAACACTCTACGCCTAACGTCAACATTACTTATCTTGTGAAACCACCTAACGTGAGACAGAGATCGCAGACATCTATGATCGAAAGCAGTCAACCTTTTCATGTCTTCAACGCGTATTGGCCATGTTTCAGAGCCATAGAGAAGGACGGAGCGAACTGATGAGCAGTACACACGTCCCTTGGTTGATAACCGGATGTCACGCCTACGCCAGAGATGGTGTAAGTCAGCGAAAGCAGCTCGAGCTTTTCGGATCCGTGCTGAGATTTCATCGCCAATCAGTCCGTTGGTGCTAATACAACTTCCCAAGTAGGTGAAGTGGTCAACATGTTCTATCACTTCACTCCCTATCACTAAGTTAGGGGTTGACGTGGTCCAGTCCTGTAGCAGCATCTTACATTTTGCAGGGGCGAATCGCATGCCAAACATACGAAGATTGCTGCTCAAGGTGTTCAGAAGACTCTGCATTTTGTCAGCATCCTCCCCTAACAGGACTATGTCATCTGCATATTCTAAGTCCATTAGATTATTCCCTGGTAACAAGTCGATTCCTAAGTCACTACGTTCAGTTAAGGATACTTCCATTAGCATATCTATGATGAAGTTAAACAGAAATGGGGAAAGTGGACATCCCTGTCGGACACCACTGGTTGTTACTAATTCAGATGACAATTCCCCATAAGCCCTTACACGACTACGTGAGTTTGAATAGAGTGCCTTGATTAGTGCAATGTACTTTCTTGGCACTCCCTTCACAGTCAGACATTGCCATAGTACTTTTCGGTCCACGGAGTCGAAGGCCGCCTTCAAGTCAAGAAATATGACAATTGTTGGACGCCGAAAAGTGTGTCTATGTTCTAGAATCTGTCGAAGAGTGAAGATATGATCTATGCACCCTCTACCTGGTCTAAAGCCTGCTTGATTTTCCCTTGTCTGTTCCTCCCGAGTTCTGCTTAGTCTATGCATGATTACTGAGCCTAGGATTTTAGAGACTATGTTCGTTAGGCTGATCCCCCTATGATTATCACACGAGGACTTGTTTCCCTTCTTGAATAACGATCAAGTGGCGTGTATGAACCTCTTTTGGACACTATTGGCAACCATGGGGGAACTCGGCTCCTTACACAATGTGCCATTCCACCCTGTAGATCGGAATTCAAAGTAAAGGCCTTCGGCGGGGGTCCTTTAGGCAGCCACCTTTTTCGGTATGGGCAGTATTCCGGCCCACCTACAGACTATGAGTTTTTGTGTGACGTACCCCCTGATCCACATTATGTACCAAGTTTTGTTCTAATGAGATAACGTACACTATAGTTGATCTGTTATTACTTTTTTTCAAAATATGTTTTCTTACTCTCATATTATTTTTAGGGGCCTATTTCAAGAGGTAAACGTATGGCGGGTGTTATGGGCAATCGATATAGGAATGCTCGTGGTTTAATGGTAAGTTAAATACTTTTAAAGTATGAAAAATTTCCATGTGATATATCAGTTACTAACACAGCTGTTTCGTCAGTCTAGTTCTTGACTCATAGACAACAGTACATGTACACACTAAGGTTTGAACCCAGGACCTTCCAGCTACAAAGTGAGCCAGCTGATAGACCATTTTAGCCACTAGGACCCGATCCAATGGTTTTTTTTAATTCCTTTACGTTCCCAGTGGAACTTAGGGCGTCAAGCTAGAGGCTTGAAGTTTCGGCAGCAGTACTGTTTATTTTTACAGGATGGGGTTGTTAGCCTCATGCCCAAGCTTCCCTCTTTACCAGTCTTATTACTGGCTTAGTGAGGTCAAGGAGTGCGTCCAGTTGCCGGGGATCGAACTCTGGACTACATGCGTGGTTGGCAAGCATTCTACCGCTGTGCCACCGACGTACCCATGTATTCCAACTCCTGTCAATTCGAGATCAGCACAACCGCTAGACAATGTTGTCCACGACGAGTAACTGTTCTCTAAACAGACCTAGTGGACCCCGCTTGAGCCCCCAGGTTCCCTCGTGTGTAGATTTTTCAATGGGTTCTCTAACTGATGTCAACACATCATCAATCCTGTAACCAATCAAAAAAGGGAAGGTTGGGCATGAGGCGAGCAATATCATCCCGTAGAAAGTAAACACCACTGCCATTGAATCTTCAAAGCTCCAGCTTGAAGCTCTACGTTCAACTAGGAACCCAAAGGAATAAAATAATTTTTTTCAAATAATAATAAATGGGGATTGATTTCGGGGAAACCAGAAATAGTGAATGCATCTGTATAGTTAAAAACGATTTCGAACTATATCACTGAGTCTTCAACCATTGCTTCCTAGATTCTCCACTCGAGGGTTGGCCGTCACTGAGTCCGATGTCATTCGACGGTCTCTTCAGTGTGTCCAGTCCACCTCCATTCTCTTCACATTTATTGAGCAATAGGTTCTCACACTTGTTGGTTCGTTCACCGCTAGAGTTTCTTGTCGCTAAATCTCCCCAACCAGCCGACAATCTTATCTTCACTATGGAACCAGAGAAGACAGCTGTTGATAGTAGTCTGCAGTGATTTGTTGAAATACGTTTCGTGATGCGCTGGCCAATATCCTGACTCACATAGAAGGAGTGACTGACTGATTGACTTGACACTTGTGTTGAACAGATTCCGAATGTTATTCTTCATGCTGGCGCTGGCTGAGTGAATACAGACGATTTCCAAACTGACTTGAAGTGATGAAGGTGTATCTTGCCTTTTAGATTCAGACTGGCTTTGATAACCTCCTCTGTGCCCTCTGTCTGTGGTTGAAATTATGTTGACTAGCCAATTAAGTGAAGGAAGTGACCTATTTCAAACTCATCTGGTTTCTAGTGATTGGTGCTGGTTGGTTGGTTACCTGTATCACCGTCGTCTTCTCTGTGTTCACCTGGAGTGGCCTGTCTTCGAGTTCGTGTGATATTAAATATGAATCACCCGCGAATCACAGTCCTTCTAGAGTCTTTTTTCATCAGTTCAACGTACTTCTGTCTTCTTGCTCCCCACAGTCGCCAGCATTAATCCAGTCCACCACGATTAGGAATATGATCATTGGTGAGATAGTAGGCAGTCAACCAGCCTTGTCCAACTTCTGCATTCACTGTAAAAGACTAGCTGAGTTTTCCCTTATGGACATGTGCCATTGTCATATGGCTTTTGAATCAGGTTCATGCAGACTTAAGACACGCCATAGTGCTTTTGTTTACAGTTATGTCATTTTCAAATTACTTCGCGCTCAATAATATCGAAGGCCTTTCCCAAACCGATGAAATTGAGGTAGAGAAAGAAAAAGGGAGATGTGAATGCCATTCTCTATGCTAGTAAGTAGAGTTGCTATTCGATCGATCCGCACATGGTTCACTTTTCTTTATTAGAGCTTGTCACAAGCGAAGTTCTGCATTTACCTACCACCATACCAATCAATAATTACACGTTTGACTAGAAATGTTTCTGTAGAACAAATATCCGTTGTTAATATCTATTCTATTCATACGAAAGTGTCATGAACAACCTTCATGCGTTAGTACTCTACAATATCAGTCAAACTCACAACCTACCTACCTACCTACCTCACTAGCCGAAATGCTTTTGTACCCTAGCACTTCATATATAATATCGTGTGATGATCATTACTTATCATATTGTTCCAACAAAAGTGTCCATGTGAAAAAATATATAACAGTGATCTCGAGAACATGTAGTCTTTCGGTATCGATTTTCAGCGGTCATGTTGTTACGATGGTCATAGACATTTTTCATATCCGTACTGATATTTTGTCGCCAACCAGTCGGGGTAGTAAGTTAAAAAAATAGATACCAAAGTCAAATGACCCTGAACCAACCAATCACATTGCTCAACATTACAAAAGGACGCTTCCAATAGTCTTCATTGTAAGTGTCAACCCTGATCTAGGGTTGAGAAACGTGACCTGTCATTGAAGCATATTAGAGGCATATACATTGTATAGTTCATCTTTGACATGTAAATATACTTTTTACACTAGAAAGCCACACTTCGATCGGACGGTAGTTAGTAACTAGTATAATGTTTGGTGCAGACTGAATTCTATCGGGAGGTTTGTGATGTGACCACCATTACAACAAGTGGGTCGTCAAAAGTGGTAACGTCTTTTGACTCATTGCAGCATTGGGTGACTCGGGTTCGAATCTCAGAAGGAACATGAGTTCGTCTAAAGTTGCAGATATCCCTTATTGATGAGTGTCAACTACCACGAAATCTTGGTAGAAATCCAGACCTGGATTAGTGTTGATTCACCTTCCCAATTAAGTGATGTGTTTAGCGTTATTCAACCATATCTTTTATCGTTAAACTCCGTATTGGTGCAGGTGATTCCTGTAACATCTAATGGGAGAATTTCATACTGAACATACTAATGTAACACCAGAAGACAAGACACGGAAGCCAAGGTATATTTTCAAGTGTTCAACCAGCTATTTATATATATCCATACAGTTTATATTCCTTAACCAATCACTGAAGGTGTGAGATTCTGGTTTACGTTAAACGACATGAAATAGAATGTTCAAATACGTATATAGATATTATCCTGTTGCTAATGCACTACTGAACTGTTGGAATAGTATTCAGACGTTAACACCAACAAATACAATGATTCTCACTGTCAGAATAGTTAGAGAACCATTGGAAAACCACCACTGGAGTGTTGGTCAGCTGTTTCGTCAGTCTAGTTTTGGACTCACCGACAGTACACGTACACGTCGGGGTTCGACCGCAGGACCTTCCAATTACAAAGTGAGCCAACTCGTAGACCATTTTGGCTTTCTGAGACCCGATCAAATGGGTTATTTTATTCCTTTACGCTCCCAGTGGAACATAGGGCTTCAAGTTTGACGCCTGAATTCAGATAGAATTCAGTCTGCACCAATGAGAGGACTAGACACATCACACTAGTTACTAGTGTCAAATCAAAGAATAGTATTCCATTGGAACCGATTGTCTGTATCACACCCCACAGCACCACGACTTCTGCTAAAGATTTCCCGTAAATTACTGAGATTAATAATTCTAATACTTTTCTCTTCTTCTTTTTTTCTTATCTTACCAATTCTAACAACAATTACAACAACTTTAGATATTGAGAATTAATCCAAAACTTGGATTGATATATGTACCAGGTCCAACACCTGGACCAGTGCATGCCTATTCACTTCTGCACGATTCTTGGTTAAAAAATCGTCGACGTCAACTGGATGCTAATCCACCACCAGTACCAACATATCTGCCTTCTTCTATTGTAGACGAAGCTGCCGCTGCTGGCGGTGGTGGTTCAGGTATACTAGATCCAACTATTTGTGTTGATATTGATGATGATTTCGAGCAGGATATCTATCATGAATCTATACATCCAAGTCATAGCCCGTCTATTTCATATTCAGAAGAATAATAGTAATAATAATAATGTAATTAAATATACATGCATAAACACCATCCTTTCTCGTTTTGTGTTTTTCACTAATCACTGAAAGTTGTTATTACTATTTCACTATCAATCACGGGACGAACACTAGTCTGATGAAATACCTGGATACCGTCCATCATTCACCATTCGAGTTGAACCGGTCGCCTTCGTTTAACTTTCATTGTTTCGAATGAGCCTTTCATCATCATCACAATATTCCACCGCCCTTCCTAACTCCTTGCACATTCCAAGTGGAACATTAGGCCTAAAGTTTCAGTAGTGGGTTGTTTTTTTCCCTCAAGAAATGACCTCGCGCTAAGATCACATCCGACCGTCCTCCACCCTTAAACTCCCCTCCTATTTGAGCCTACCACAGACTAGCAAACTAGCTGCGGTCCAAGAGTTTGTAGGCCGGCAGTCAGTCAAATCCGGTCCGCAACACGTGCGCGCTTAACCAACAAGTATTCTATCATGAAGCAAGCCTTGCAATGATGCACTAGTCTGCTAAATATCTGAAATTAGTTGTTCTGTAACGACAGAAGACACGGGCCAGCCAAACAGATCGTTTATTAGGAAATCAACACATATTTATAGATTTTCATGCACATTTTCATAGATTATTGTTATCAGAAAAACAAAGTCTTCTGATTGGTTGTTGTTAATCTTGCATCTCTTTGTGACTGCTTCTTGAATGTCAGACCATCTATATGTTAACTGTATCCGCCCACGCAAAGCCTTTGTTCTCATTTTTCTCACCAAATATTGACGTAAATTACTGTCCATCAATTTTGGCTAACAGCCAGCTCTCACCACAGTTCTACGTTCATTACATTTATACGTGGCCATAAAAAATATTGAAACTTAGGCATAATAAACCAAACTTATCTCTGTGAATATATGCACTAACTAATTTTTACAGATAAATTACGCTTCTAACTTTTCCCCTTACTTAAACAACACACTTGAAAACTTGCCAAGAATGTTTTGTAAACATCATCTGATCCCAACTATGGGGTGTTGTGTAGTGATGAATACATTCACATATTCTATAAGGCAATGTTCCGCCCGGGTTCTAAATAACTCGGTGTCTTGAATCCCCAATATTTTCTAAGTCCATATCCCATCATGATGACATAGCAATGGTTCATGGAAATTCACTCAACATAATTAAATTAGTCAGAAGGATTAGAGCATACTTGGGATTCAACAACGCGCCAAATAGCAAAAAGCAAGTTTGTTCTCCCGTCCATCTGGGTTAATTTGATGCGAGTCGGACAGTCAGTATTTGACAAATTATTTAGACTTAACAGCCGATTACAATTTAGTACTAGAGATCATTTAAAAAAGCTCTGAGAACACGTCATCGTTCAAATGAACACGTATATTTAGCAAGCTAAGAGTGATACGCTTTAGGCACCAAGAAATGTGCGCCACACATAACGGAGGAAGAAAAAGAGTGAATGCGGGAGAACATTCACAAAGGCAAGCAAGTATAACAGCATATCACTAACATTCAGGGGATGGATGCAAATTTCATGGTATGTTCGCCGTCAATTAAGATTCTTACTTCGCCGCATATCTGATAGACAGCATCTCGAACAACTGATTAGGATTATTTACCGGATCTCAACCTTGGTAGTCGTACTGCACCAACAGATGGATGATATGCTGACACAGAGCTATCCTTCATCCTATGACATCACTTCTTAGACTGTCTACCTCTCCTCCACACATTCCACCCAGAACTAGCAAACACACAGTGTTGTGAGAGTTACTGGATTGACACTCACAGTACATGTCCAAGTCACTGAAGCTACTGTTCCAAGATGACAACATTTAATGAAAGACTATCTCAAGTGTGTGATCTCAAATACACGCCATCAGAGCTCGGAACTGCATGATGATACAACCGAGTGGAAGCGTTTCTGTGGTGGTGGTGGCGGCAGTGACCGAATACACATTGTTTTTGTTGCACATCTTCGGTCAGGTTTGACAGGAGGCAATGTGCCCTGAAGCATTGTAAACCAGATTCTTGGCAGTCAGTCGCGGCCTACTCCGGAGTATACCGCCCTGGCTTTCACAACTATACGAACTAGAGATCTCATCCGTCAGTACTTACACAGATACACGACGAACTTATCGACTACTTCTAACTGTTTACCTGTGGAGTGAGTGTTTTGTGCAGGCTCCTGTCAATCTTGCGTATGGCGTAAGTGTGCAGACCGTACTTACAGACCCCGACCATCAACTCTATATATGCGATTTGGGCAGCATATAAGTTATCACACAATAAGACTATGTTGTACACATGTCCGAAGTCAAAAAGTCCCTCTCCAAGCACCAGAACTACAACCACCACACACAACCCTTCACAGATCTATCTCCAGAATGTCACAATCCTAATGGTAAAGAGAAATGGTGAGTGACTGGACAACCCTTACCAACTCCAGTTGGTCGAGTACAGCGGTGTGATGTCTGGTTGGTTTTGTGCCTCCATTCTACCTTCGGCTTCTCCACGTAATGGGGCCGCCAATATGATGTTAACACACCTCCCAGGAGTAGCTCTTCCCAATTTCAGAGATCAGTTCTGTGCAACAATGTTCGGCATTTATAACCGGACTGGTGTGCATATAGATTCACGCAAACAAACTGGAAAACCCTGATTTCAAACGCATGGGTCCCAGAATGTAAGAGCACCAAATGGTTTACGAACCTACTTGGGACACTGGCAACCATCGGCACGCTGCTCTCCTGCGTTACCTTGTGAATTACACCTCCAAATTAACGGATCGGAATCTGGTCCCTTAAAACAACCGGCTGTTTCACAACCTGTCCGTCCGTCCCAGTAGCACACCTCAGACTTCGTACAAGTTAGCCTTCCGCTGTTGTTTCAGATATCACAGACTACGCGTACTTTCTCGATTTGCTGTTGGTTAGGGATGCCTTCAAAATGTCAACCGTACACAACAATAGTGCGATGTCTATAAGAAAAAAGCTATATTCTAAAAATCCGCATAGCTCATCTTTCAGGCTTGTGTCACTACTTAAAACGTTCACACACATTTTAGCTGAGCTCAACATATCACAAATTGTATTACAGTAGTAGTAAAGCTGTGTGTACGCGCGCACACGCCAGACAAAAACAAACATTCTAGTTTCAGGAAAATAACTACAAAATTATATTTACGCTCTCTCTCTTCACAGCTTCTCCTTCTCTTCAAAAAAAATTCACAGAGACTAGAGGAAGAGTTACGACACTATGCATAATGACGAATAACAAACAACACAGTGATCTAACATATCAGAATGTAATGTACACACCACATCACTCTACACAAAGATTCACACAGACACACAAGTACCAACTGACAAAGGGAAAAAGATTTTAGAAGATAAAATCATATCCACAGTAGTAATCATTTATGTTTAACAAATTATGTACAGTAAAATAAAGTAGTGTTTTTTTATGAAAATTCTTGTGCAAGAAAATTTCATAGACCACGACCACTGTCAATTAGATGCCTAGTAAACTGGTGATAACTGTAACGGCCAAATCTATTAACAGATACTACATGTAGTCTGAAGGCAAGAAGCCGTGGTGACTGCATAAAAGAAACGCTGATACACGCGTTTCTTGCGGATAGAGCTTAAGAATGACCCATCACCTTCGTCAGGAGTGTATTCTCCTTCCTTCGATTCTAAGTACTTGTTCTATTTATGGAAATCTACACTCCCTGTATAGTCAGTCAGCCGAAACATAGCACGGGACTGCTGAGAATTGTAACGACCAAATTATTCGGTGACCATGGTCGTCTGAACGTGAGAAGCCGATCTCTACGTTCTACTGTATTATAACACAGTTGGCAAAACTATGTTGAGGAAGGCACGCGCTACCACGAAACATTCCGAAAGCAGGCAAGAGACGGTTACTCTTCAGTATTTTATCGTCTACGACGTATGGTAGCTAACACTTGTGATATTATGGTCTGAGTGTGCTTCTAGTTAATGGTGGTAGTGTCGAATGATTAACTAACTCGGTTACAAAATGACGACGATTAGGCAGAATTAATCGGTGGTTGCTTGAGTGGGACGGGATAGTCAGAATAATAATTTAATCTACCGCCAATACAGTGTTCCATCAGCCAGAACGGGAAGCATATTAGTTTGTTTATTAGATATATCACACATAGTGATTGAAACAGTATTATTTACTGGTGGATTGACAAGGTTTCGGAAAAAATTTATTACTGTTCATAATCATTTCATCAATTATAATCACACGACTTCGAAACTTGAGTTTTACAGTTTTCTTTCTTCTCTCCTATTTGTCGTCGGTGGAGTTGTAGAATTCTCCAGATATCTGGGGAAGGTGTTGGTTGAATCATTCCTATTACACGTGCTCTGCTCTGTCCCGTTGATTCGATAAACTAAACAAAGCTTCCGTTATCAATCTTCCCTACTCGCCACCACCCTGTTACATTGGATTTTAAAACTGTCATCTTATCCCATTCCACCCATCGTATTGTACGGTTGTGTGTAACTGCATGTAGTGAGTGGTATAGCTGAACTGTGCTCTGAATGAATTTCTTATCTTTCTTATTCGGGTCAACTGATCTAGATTTTGTTAGATTTTCGTGCTCCGTCAGTCTATCATCCAATAAACGAACTAATATGGGATTAAGAGTATTTTGTTGTATATATGCATACACGTGTATTAAAAGAAGGATTTTTCTGAAATATTCTGTGTTTATCGTTGTGTGGTGTCATGTTTTCCTCAGATGCTAATATACAAAGGCACGACAGGCTTTTGATTTTAATGAATTTGCTGGTGGGTGAAGAGTTTGACAAATGCCTCATTCATGATGAGAGCTAATTTTTAGCATATTTCTCCTCGTAATTCAACCCTGGACTACACAAGTATTGGAAGTCGAGGTTTAGCGTAATACGGCTTACTTACTGTGCTACTGGAGTTATCTTCAATGAGTTGTGGTTGGGTGAAGGGTCTTGCTGAAGACAATCCCTTCTCGTGAACTGGAGTCCGGATTTAGTGACTTACTCACCTGACTTCTGTCATTTTGCGTTGTGTATATCGAATATGTTTTCACTTGTGAACCGACTGAGGCGACTTGTCTGAAATCAAGTTTGCAGCTTTCTCTGACTGCAAACTTGATTTCAGACAAGTCGCCTCAGTCGGTTCACAAGTGAAAAGTATTCGATATACACAACGCAAAATGACAGAAGTCAGGTGAGTAAGTCACTAAATCCGGACTCCAGTTCACGAGAAGGGATTGTCTTCAGCAAGACCCTTCACCCAACCACAACTCATTGAAGATAACTCCAGTAGCACAGTAAGTAAGCCGTATTACGCTAAACCTCGACTTCCAATACTTGTGTAGTCCAGGGTTGAATTACGAGGAGAAATATGCTAAAAATTAGCTCTCATCATGAATGAGGCATTTGTCAAACTCTTCACCCACCAGCAAATTCATTAAAATCAAAAGCCTGTCGTGCCTTTGTATATTAGCATCTGAGGAAAACATGACACC